CGGGCCGGAAACGCCCCCGCCGCCACGCACCTCCCGTTGAGAGGCGGAGGGCGGGAGGGAGTCTCCCCAATGGCCCAGTCCTGTCTCCAATCTGTCTTCCTGGGACGGCTCCTTTAGCGCTGAGGTTGGCGCAGTACCTAGCCTGGCCCCAAGGGGCGCCACAGCCTTTTGGGATTGGGGTGTGCGCAGGAAATGGAGGGTGGGGAAGGGGAGGTGTTGCCTTAGCCGGTCCCCCGCGAGTCTTCTCCAGAGAGTGTGTCTGTCCTTGCCCCGCGCCTTCCTCCTGTGCCCAGCGGTCTGCCCAAGTGTCTCTTGGTCTTACCCACTCTCTGGTCCCCTCCCCGCCCCCAGCTCAGCTCACAGGGCTCTCATTTCTTCCACCTCCTTGTTGCAGATCCTGGTGCCCCTCTGGCCGGCAGCAGTCCCGGCGCAGGACAGCGAGATGCGGGTGGTCCTAGGATCACCTTCGGTCCGAGGGTTGAGGTCCCAGATTAGTCAAGGGGAGAAAGCTGAGCTCTGCCCTCTCCAGGGAGACCTCCCCACCCAGCAGCCCCGAGACACAACAACCTACCTTCCAGCCTTAACTCAATGGTCCGTTCCTGCCGGGTGCCCCTCACCCCCTTACCGACCCCAAAGCCAGATCACCCCCTGGGTTAGAACTTTTCCCCTGACAGAGCGTGGAGAGGGAATCCCCCAAAGGAGAGATTTACCTCCATGACGCCAGGCTCCAGCCCCCTGTTCCTTCCTGCATCGGGTGGTGTTAGATTGGGGGGTGTTGGGTTTGGGGAGCTGTGGGGGGCAGGCTGGGTCCCGGGGTGGAGGTTGGGGCCCAGGTTGTGCCAGCAAAGGCTCTGCTTTTCCATCCATCCCAATCAGATGCCCCTGCTTGAATCTCAGGTTACCCTGATTAATCTAGGGAGGGGTAGAGCCAGAAAAAGAATTATGGGGACCCCTTGCTTGCGGGAGATATGCCCGCTTTCTGCCCCCCCCCCCACTTCCTGGTTGGAGGCCCTCGGGATCTACACTTCCTTGTGCCAACACCAGTTGGCCCTGTGCCCTGACTCACTCCACCCCGTTTTCTCCGGCTGCCTGGCCGGGTTTCTACCTCTCCTCACCAGAGCTGATCACTGTCAGTTTTGTATTGACTTAGAAATAACAAAAATAACGAAGATACCAGGAGCGGCCTGAGGGATTCCTGGGGGACTTGGAGGCCACACAATGGTGCGTGTTCCCTGCCCCCAGGCCAAGTTCTCCTTGAGGCTGAGCCCTCAGCCTTGGGCTGATGGGAGGACAGCAAGGTTAGAAGAGGGGCAGATAGAACATCTCGGCCTTGACCTGGCCCAGCTTTGTGGTATAGATCAGGAAATCAGGTAGCCCAGAGCGGTGATGGAGAGGAGTCTGGGGGAGGGGTTGTGGGTGGGGAGTTTATCATCCCAATCTAGCGTGAGAGGGAATCTATGAATTTCCCAGCTGATTCCCCCTCCACCCACCTGGGTAGCACAGCCCTACAAGGACCGCCCTGACCTGGGCAGTCCAGTGCCCCTGGTTCTAGTCCCTGTTGTGCTACGTGACTTGGGGCAAGTGACCCGCCCTCTGAGCCTCCCTCTGAAGCAGAGGAGGTGGCTCCCCTTCCCCACCCCTTGAGTGGCTGGGAGGGTACGGAAGAGGGCCTGCCCCCTTCCTCCCTGCATCCTGCTCCCTGGGTCACCAGGGGGACAGGGTAAGGGATGGCAGCTCTGAGGCACCTGAAGTGGGGGTGGGGGACCCAGGCCTCTGGCTGCCCCTGCGGGAGCCATTGGATGTACTGCCTGCCCGTCCCACCTCACCCCCTCTGCTCACCCAGGTCTTTGATTTCGATTTCCTCCACCCCCATTCTGAGTCTCTGTCCTTCTCCCTGCCTCCCCGCACCCACCCAGGGTTTCCCACCACAGGGTCTGGAAGTGTGTGTGACGCCCAATGCGCTATGATCAGAAGTCAGATTAAAAATCAGGGAGTGTTTTCCCTCGTTTCTGTACCAAGGTGCTGGCTCAGTTTCTGAAGGTGGACAGGAAGGGGCTCCTTGCAGAGCTCTGCTGGGCAAGGAGGGGAAGGGTGATGGGTTGGCCCGAGTTTTGGGACTCAGGACAACCAGAAGAACCAAGGGGAGGAGTTTGGGACTCATCTCCTCTCCACCTACCCCTAAGCCCTCCCACTGATCAAAACCCTCTGCCACTCAGGACAACTTGCATAACTGGACTCAGTCCCAGTTTCTGCCTCTGTGTCTGCCTCGCTCACCGCTGAGCCTCTGTGATCCCTCTGTCATAACTTCACGGGTGTAGATATGTTAACCAGCCCTCCTGACTCTAGGGATCTCAGTCCCCAAGCCCCAGAGCCCAGCTTTGAAGTCTCACAGGAGCCTGTGTTGGTGGCCGTTGTCCCTGTCCATGGTGCTGACGCACCAGCCACCTCCAGGAGATGGGCTGTCTGGGGGCGAGGTTGGCTGAACCTCAGGAGAGAAAGACCAGCTCTCTCACCCCAGCTCGCTCCCTGATCCTCTTCCCGCCAGTGGGAGAATGTCTGAAGTTACACTTTCCTGCATCACTACAGCCCTAGAGAGAGCGACTCAAGCTGGAGACTCCAGGACAGACCCACCCGTGTTTAATAACATAAGAATTGTGGAAACAGTGGGCATGGCCTAAGGACAGGAGTTTGGGGAGCTGTTCTGGGGGAGGGTGATAAGGTATAGGGTGGCCACACTGCCCCTATCCCAATTCTGGAGTTGGAGTGGAGATGATGGGCTGTACCATTTGCTAGTCTGACCTGATTGATGCTCTATTTGTCTCCTGGCCAAGGCCCTGTATCAAGGTGAGGGGCCCTTCTTTCTGTTCCTGCGGCTGGGATCCCAACGGCTACCTGGCATTCTTTTCACAGGCTCTGGGATGAGAAGCCCCTCCTTAGACCCAGGACTCCTCCTCGGGTGGGAGCAGATCCAGCTGCTGGGGTCCCAGGCTCTCCGAATGTGGGGATCTGCTCTCCAGTGGAACGGCTGCCTCTTTCTCCTCCTGTCCTTCCTCTTTCTCCCCTGCCCAGGCTCCATCCACCAGGGCTGCCTCCCCTCCCTTCCCACCCAGCGCTGACTCTCTTTCCGGCCTGCCGCTTGAGGGCGCCCTGGCTGGACCCAAGCGGAGGTAGGCCAGGGGTTTGGGGATTCGCGAAGGCCGCTCCTCAGGCCTGTGGTCTCTCCGGGGCCGGAGTCTGAGCCTCAGCTTCAGCTTGTAGATAGATGGTACTCTTCGGGGCTTCCGCAGTGTTCTCTTGCCCTTGCCTGGACGTGCCTTGGCTTTGTCAGAATTGGGGTCCAAGGGCAAAGGTGTGGGGGCTTCCAGGCTGGCAGGCACAGGAGGGGCTGAGCAGTCCTGCCCTCCTGGAGCTGGGACCTTCCTCACCCTGGTGTCCTTGGCACCCAGGGCTGCCTTTGTCCTTGGCCCACTCTCTCTGGCTCCCAGTTTCCCCTTTGGGCTTCCTGGGCCTGTGGTAACTGCCCGCTTACGGAAGCCTGGAGGGGCAGCCTTCCAGGCGCCCGGGTCCACTTTAATGAGGGGTGGAGGGCCCTGAGCCAGTTCTTGGATGACTTTGTCATAAGGACCCCCAGGCTCAGGCCACCGCCCACCCAGGCTGGGGACGTAGACTCCACTGCGAGGGATGAGCCCAGAACGTGGGCCCTGGGGATGGGCAGTCCCCACCTCTAGCAGCTTCATGTTGGCCAAAAGCTCCTCCTCGAGGCTATGGCAGATGGCTGGCTTCTTGATCCCACCCAAGGTCAGGGGCGTGTCCAGGCCCCGGGACTCTCCGGCTTCTGCTGGCACCCAGACGTCCAGCTTCTGGACCCCTTGCCTTCCTTCCACAGAGCAGTCCCCACGACTGGACCCAGCCAGGACTCCAGTGGCAGCCCCTGGTGGTATGGAGCTTCTCTCCAGTTCTGTTGTAAGACCTCCACTTTCAGTACCTGGAAAGCTTCCTCCTGGAGTGGGAGGTCGGGCAGGGGCCAGCTGGACAGGAATCTTGGTGGGTCCTTTAACAGGGGACGGAGAGCGGACAGACACTGGCTCCCTGACCTGGGAGGGAGCATCACCCCGAGGCGGCTTCCTGGGGCCCATGGGCTTGGCTGACGAACTGGAGTAACGAGGCAGGGGAGATGGTCCTCTTGCTGGGGTCCCTTTGGCAGTAGCCTCAGGGGCTCGGAGTCTCTGGGGGGTGGGGGTCCTGGGATGGGTTCTCCAGCTGTCTGTCTCCTCATGAACCCAAGATGTAGGAGTCCTTCCCCTGGGGAGCTCAGGGGGGTGTCTGTCCTCCCTCTTCCCTGAGGAGGAGCACTGTGGGTCTCGGCCCCTGGGGGTGGGTGAGGATTGGGGGCTGGGTGAGCTGTGCCCGGCTGCCAGCTGCCTCTCAGGTGGGGCGGGTGGCTTCTCCTGGCGCCTGAAAGGGAGAATCATAAAGCTGTCAGGGTCGCCTAATCCAGCCCCCTGGCTCTGGGAAGGGCTGGCCTTTCCCAACCAGAACCCCAAGGGGGCCAGACTTCATGTGGAAGGAAACAGATGTTCCCTCTCCCTCTGTGTCTGTCCAAGGATATTCCTTATGGCAGATACCGTTTAACTTTATTCTCCATCATTCCCTTGAAGCAGGTAGAAAGCAGCCTGGCCTGCACCCTGGGTTACTTCAAACCCAGCAAATACAGGTCACCAGTCTTAGGTGGCAGGGGAGTCTTAGTGTCTGCTCTACCATGAAATGGCAGCAAGGCCTTGCATAAGCCTGTTCCTTTTATGGGCCTCAGCTTCCTCATCTGTGAAATGGGAGCACATGAAGTAACTAGATAATCCCAAAGGTCTTGGGTGCTTCTTT